TTTGCCAAATTAAACCAGAAATATGCTACTATGGACACTTCTTTTGCCCTTTTGTTGGGTAGGAACAAACAAACTAGGGACACTTCATCGGGAGGAGAGGGGGAACCTATGAAAAGCTTGAGTTCCTGGGTGAATTAGTAGTAGGACCAAATAATAAGAGCTGAGGAAGAGAGAGAAGGGTGCACAGACACTATTCTCTATACAAAAATTCTAAGCATTTCAATTAAGTAAATGTGGTGGTGGTGGTGGTGGGGTGGGGGGAATACTAGACTGCAGAGGCAGAGGTGCAAAGTAAATGGAACATACACAGGTGTCAGTTTATACAAGCCACTCTGGTGTGTGACCAACAGCCCAACAGGTTCAAGGCACTAAGCTCCTATGTTAACAGCTCTACCACTAAATTGCTCGCCAGTTGTGCTGAGAAAAGATTTCATGTCACTTACATACATAATTACATAAACGCTAAGAAGCTAGAGATCTGGACAAATGAATCACTCTCATAAATTTGTCTTGACCCTCTCCCTACCACTTCCCCCAAACCCTGCTGGCTTTCAGAGGCTGATACCCTCCCCTCTTCACACACTATAAATTTTAGCCAAAAACCAAAAGCTAGCTAACTGACCCAAATAATTATCCTTAGCTCTAATGTAAATGCCGTTCGTGCTCTATTAACTTTTCGTGAACGTAGGAAACATTAACTAGAAGGACTGTTGTAGCTCTGCTCTTACCAAAAACCTGTCGCCGCTGAGTCAATTTGGACTCACAGTAACCCTACAGGACAGAGCAGAACTGCCCCATTAGGTTTCCAAGGCTGTAATCTTTACAGAAGCAGACTGTCACATCTTTAACACGAGGAGCGGCTGGCAGGTTCGAAGTGACCTCTCAGTTAACAGCAAAGCGCTTAACCACTGCGCCACCAGGGCCCCTTCTGCTCTTACACCTGTGGCAAATCAGAGACTAAAGCCATTCTTCACCCAAGATGCTACAGATTACCTCATCTGCTCTGATTTGAAGGATTCCCTTTATGTGAACTCTAGAATATGGTAAATCAGACTCACCTTTTAGAACTAGCTTTTCCTGAACTAGTGACATTAAGGTAACTTTTTAACAGTGAATTTAATTTGTCATTGTTCTTAAGTTTACTCTCTAACACTTAGAGTTGATTTAACTTTATATTTGAATTTCAAAGCAACCCTACAATAGGGCCAATTATGAAAAATGATTACCTTGAGCTGCCGGAACTCTCACAAACTGCTAGAGGGAGTATAAATTGGCAAAACCATTTTTGAAAAATTTTGGCAGCATCGATTAATGTGAAAATAGACAAGTCTTATGGCCCATTCCTAGGTACATACCCAATTCTACTCCTAGAGACACACTCAACAGAAATGTAAACACATGTCTACCAAAAGACATGTGTGCATGCATGTTCACAGTGGCACTAACTCTTCCTAATAATGAAAACCTGGAAACCAATCAGATGTCCATCCACAGGAGAATGGACTAATAAACTGTGGTAGAAACCACATAAGGGAGCACTACTGTACAGCAAAGAGAAAAACCAATCTCTAACCACTCACAACAATATGGGTGCATCTCACATACAGAGTGTTCAATGAAAGAAGCACCCACAGAAATCACTGATTCCCTCTAGACAACATTCAAAAACAGTCACAACTAGCCTAGGGTGTTAGAAGTGGAGATAGTCATAACCTGGGGGAGGGGAGGGAATTGGGAAGAATATGACGGGGGCTTCTGGGTGTTGGTTACACAGGTATATTCTCTTAGGATTCATCAAGCTAAATATTTATGATTTGTACGTTTTTCCATATGTACACTACACTTCAATAAACAATAAAAAAGACTATCTCATCACAGATTAAAAAAAAAATTCATCAATTTGATCTTTTCCTTTACAAATTCACTTTAGAAAAGCCTATTTCTGTGATAAAGCAAAAAGACAGATGACCTATTTTTCTTCTAAAATTATTTTTATGAACTTAAGTTTACTGGCACAGCCTCACTAAGAAAATAGCTATGTCTGAGTTGCCATCGTGCCATCAGCCTCACTTTGGAATTGGATGGAGCTCAGTGTCTCCACCAAGTAGCTAGGCTATGAGGCTCTGCCCTGCATCAGGTCTTCAACTGTAAAAGGATAATGAGATGTAAGAGAAGTAAAGTGGGTGAAGGGTCTAGTACACAAACACCTGTTATCACCAGGGTGTAACTTAGAGAAGAAGGCAGAAGCATCTCTCTGCACATCTTTTGAGAGTTAAACACAGATGTTGGTGCTCCTTACACATTCTCTTTGAATGATTACTGAGGATGATGATGCTTTAACACCATCACAAACCAAACACAAGTAGCCACAGTGAACCTCCCCCTCAACATCTATCCCAACTAAATGCATTAGGAATTGAATTTTAAAATAACTACTGTTTCTGAAAAATTACTTTGTGATCAGCACTCTGTTAAGCATTTGTATCTTTTGAAAGCGTAACTTTGGAGACAGTTAGACCTCCTACAGAGAATTTAAGATCCTTTAAACTGGAGAGAGAGAAGGACTGAGGAATAAAGTACCTTGTGTCCTGAGCATGGCACATTTTGAAGATTATATCCAAAATATCATTTAGATCAGGTGGCGGTAGTAAATCCCACAACTGCAAGTTAATAGTTTTGTGTGTGTCAGAAAATGAATGTACCCCAATCAAAGCCAACCTAGCCCAGTTTTTGTGCAAAGCCAATAAAAACCATCACCTAAAACATGTTTTAGGTTGTGAATAAAAGATTTATGTTGATAATACAAGTTGTAGATTGTAGTTTTATATTCAGTCATGGCTTCCTTCAGCAAAGACGCCTAGTTATTTCCATGAGGAGATTTAAATACAAAATCTGTCCTTTGAAGAAGTTAAGCCAACTCATGTCAGGCTTCCAAAGGTCTCTTTATAGTTAGCTTAGCTTGTCTCTTCGTGCTTCGGCCAGAGCACTTGTACTCCACATCAACAAGCACAAGCTTTAGCTCTGCCTAGGCACTTGGCACATTAAACAACAGTTCCTATACATTACTAAATCATAAAAATTTTATAGGATGAAAACAATATAATAGGCAGTTAGCACACACCTCTAGATATTGCCCTCTAAGAAGAGGACTGCAATAAGTTGGAATTAAAGGTACATTTTAGGTGGTGATGATGCTGGTAGTTAAGTCTGAAAGAATTATACGTTTAACTTTCAAGTTGGTTAAGATGTAGTGAACAGGAGCTAATTTGACAGACTCCTATGAGCTAAAGATGAGACACGTTGAGCATCAAAAAGAAACGTCCATAATAAATTGAAACACACCAAATATGCAAAAACATATAAATTCACAACACTAACAAAAAACAAGTAACAACAACAACAAAAAAAGGGGGGAAAAAGCCCTCATCTGTTAACTTCGGATACTGGGGGCTAACAACTATTATTCAGATAACTGATAAATAAAGGGAAAGAAGCAAGCATTTATCCAGCCTTTTCTGTATGGACTGATTTTCAGGATAAATGACTGCTGAAAGAAAAGTTTTTGTTTTGTTTTGTTTTTTTAAATAAAAGAATTACTGTCAATAAATGTGAAACAAATAATAAATTTAGAAAAATCAGCATTATGCAACACTTAATTAAATAACTGATCTAGGCAACAATTATCAATGGCAGCTAAAATCATTACGTGAAGTCTGATGGGAAAGTTTGTAATGGATGGATCAGTACGACAACACTGCAACCAATGAGCCATCTTAATGTCACAAAAAAGGGACAACCAACATTACAAAGAAGAAAGCTGGCCAATAAAAGTGAACCAAAATCTGATGAAATACTGAGAGAAAATCCTCTGGTTTATGGGAAATGGGGGTGCAGGGAGCTGGAGAGGAGGATATGCGGAATGACATACTGCACCTTGAGTGTACAATCAGGCACAGCCAGTGTGGAAGATTCTGGTGTCTTCAACATATAAATGGTATTTAAAAAAAAAAAAAAAAGGAGGGTGAAATGTTGTGACACATTAAAAGAGATTTAAGAGACATATCAACAAATGTACTGTGTGGACTTCATTTGAATACTGACTCAAATCAACCAAACATTCAAAACATATTTAATTAACATTAGAAGTTATGCTTAATTTTGTTGGGTATAATGATAAACTCATTGCTGTCAAGTTGATTCCAACTCACAGCTACCCTATAGGACAGGGTCGAACCGCCCCATAGGGTTTCTAGGAGCAGATGGTGGATTCGAACTGCTGACCTTTTGGTTAGCAGCCAAACTGTTAAACATTGTTGAAGAATAAGATTTTCAACTGTTAAGGATACATTTTGAACTTTATCCCCTTCCCCAAAGTGAGGAGTAACAGATAAAACAAGATTGGCAAAAATGTCAGTAATTCTGAAGGTGGGCAACAGGTATATAGGGGATTACTATACTATTCTCTTTACTTTTGTCTATGGTTGGAGATTTCCATAATGAAAAGTTAAAAGGTGATGACTGCTGAAGCTGGGTCATGACAGTTCACTGCAGTATTCTTTTTAAAAAGTGTGTTGTACACAAGGATAAATTTTAAGGAACTCTGGGATATATTTGGGAGCCCTGGTGGTGCAATGGTTAGGAGCTCGGCTGCCAACCAAAAGGTCCCAAGTTCAATCCACCAGCCACTCCTCAGAAACCCTATGGGGCAGTTCTACTCTGTCCTATAGGGTCGCTATGAGTCAGAATTGACTTGACAGCAATGGGCTTGGTTTTAGGGAGGGGATGTACTGCCCATTCAGGGATTGACTGACTCAAGCAAAGGGCATGTGCAAAGAGAACATGGCAGGCTTTATGTGGTGATGGCTAACACCAGCTCTCACTGGCCTACAGATTTCCTAGATGAGAGCTGATGTTCTGAACAGTAACAGAAAACATCCTCTGATGCTCTGTGCCCCAGGGACAATCACAAGTCTTATGCATGAGCAGAGCCTTCCTCTCACCTGGCTGGGGCGGATGAGGCGGCGGCATCTGGTGGTGCATCAGAGGGTAGGGAGGGGGCTGCTGATGAGGCACCATGCCAGGGTGCCCTGCTGCTCCAAGTGGGGCCAGGCCAGGTCCTCCTGAATGCTGGTGTGCCTGCTGAGGGTTCTGCCCATGCTGCTGCTGTTCCATTTGCTGTCGGGCTCGTAATTCTGCATATTTCAGCTGTTCCATGTGGAAATTCTGGCGTTCAGTAAGCAACTGCTGCCTCTGTTGTTCTAGCTATAGGAAAAGGACATAAAAGACAAATGACACTGGGATAGATTCTCAGAATTGGATGATACATAGGACATCTACCTGAGGCCTGGATTCCCTCTAAACCATCACAGATAAATCTTGCCTCCTGCAGTATCTACCACAAAACAGAGGCATTATTTTTTGAGAGGCATATTTCCATTTGGACATGTTATCAGGGTCAAGGTCTTGTCTATGTAGAATCTAAGGTCTGCCTTTCTTTGTAGCCTTTACCCAGTGGGACTTTTACCCTCTGGGCCCCCTGAGGACACATGTAATCCTCTCCCTGGTTGGCAGTCCTGCAGACATTTAAGAATAGTTTCCATGATCCCCTCAGTCTTCTCTTCCCCAAGCTAAACGAGCTTCTCTTGTCAAATTTCAAGTTCCTCCAACCTTCCCAAGTGCTCCCTTCTGGAAGTCATCCTTTCTGGTTACTGTCTCTTTTAGAATGTCACACCAGAGTTAAATCCTCTGGATGTGTTGGTCTGGCCTCAGCCACAAAGATACACATTTCTCTGCACGGAACTTTGGCAGTGGTACTGCAGATCTCAGTTTTCAAGTACGAAAAATTATACCAGGCCACACATGCACAGAATATTTTAGATGCCTAAATAAAAATTTCTAGGAGACCAGGTGGTGCCGTGGTTCAGTGTTTGGCTGCTAATGGAAAGGTCAGTGGTTCAAACCTATCAGTTGCTCCACAGGAGAAAGATGGGGCACTCTATTTCTGTAAAGACTTATAGCCTTGGAAACCCTATGGTGCAGTTCTACTCTGTCCTATAGGGTCACTACAAGTTGGAATTTGACTCGACAGCAAAGGATTTAGTTTTGGTTTTTTGGAAGTAAAAATTTGCATAAATCTTGATTATAAGAATATAAGCATTTCAATATTAAAGATAATCTTTATGGGACTCAAATTAAAATAGACAGAAATGAGTTATAATATGTGCCAAGAAATTAGAAAACCATATGCCTAACAATAGGAGCCCCTGGGTGGCACCAATGGTCAAGCGCTCCACTACTAGCTGAAATGTCGGTGGTTCAGATTCACCCAGAGGTGCCTTTGAAGACAGGCCTGGCAATCTGCTTCTGAAAGGTCACAGCCTTGAAAACCCTACGGAATAGTTCTACTCTGAACACAAGGGGTCGTCATGAGTTCGGAACTGACTTAATGGCAACTCACAGAAAATGACAATGCCTGAGAATGGAGCCCACCCTAAATGCTACCAAAACTATTTTAGAGCTGAAAAAGAAAAACAACTTGAACATGAAGGAAAATAAAAATCCAGATCCCTGGAAGTAAATAGCATAAGGATTCTAAGGAGGGTTGATAACCTGTGTCTTTTCAATGAAGTCGCCATCCCATCATGTATGTTGCATAGCAAGATCTGAGTCACTAGAAAGTGTTTTCTAGAACTGCTCTGTCCAATACAGCAGTTAGTCTGAAATGAGATATGCTGTAAGTGTAAAATACATACTGAATTTTGAAGACTTACTAGAAAAAAAAATTTCAATTATTTTCAAAATAATGTTTACATGCTGAAATATTTTGGATGTTAAATGTTTTATGTGGTAGTGTTAAATAAAATAGTACAATGTCATCTGTTTCTTTTAATTTCTTTAACTGTGGCTACTAGAAATTTTTTAAATTATATACACGGCTCACATTACACAGGACGGCACAATTCTTGTAACATTTTAGGTTTAGGAGCAGCCAGCTTTGTAGATAAATACTATATACTATCACTGGAGCACCGGTGGTGCAGTGGTTAAGAGCTCACTTGCTAACCAAGAGGTACGCAGTCTGAATCCACCAGCCGCTCCTTGGAAACTCTATGGGGCAGCTCTACTCTGTCCTATAGGGTCACTATAAGGAATCAACTTGATGGCAATGGGTTTGGTTTTTGGTATCATTAGCAAGGAGCCCTGGTAGGGCAGTGGTTAAGTGCTTGGCGGCTAACTGAAAGGTCAGCGGCTGAGGCTCTATGGGAGAAAGATGAGGCTAAAGATTACGGCCTTGGAAATCCTAGGTGGCAGTTCTACTCTGTCCTATAGAGTAGCTATGAGTTGAAATTCGACAATGGATCACATTAGCAGAAACTTGATGGAATATGCATGAGAATTAGCCTAGGAATTTAGGCTCTTAGCAGACAGCTGCCTGGGGAGAAGTCCCTCTGGGCCAAGTGAAAAGCCTCACTGGTTATCAAAAGTAGTAACTAGGGAATTTCCATGGAAGAATGGGGTGTGGGAAGACACGCCATAGACACAGAATGAAGAGAAGAGGCATGAGCAGGTGAGGAGGAAGATAAATGTGGAGATAGATGCTAAAGTCTATGTACTACATGTTGGTCAGGTGACTCAGGAGAGTCTCCTTAGAGAGAGAGTACTGCACTGAAGATCCTTCAAAATGAACTGCTTTGTAAGAAGTTGAGGGTTATCAGGAAGGAGCGAGACAGGGTTCTACCGTGGTCCTAACAGACCTGTGTGGGCTCCATATTTTCTAGGGAGGGTGATCTGAAGAGGTTAAAGCCTGGCCTGGTCAGCTTCTGCTTGATGAGAAGGGAGCTGCAAGATATAAATGGCTAGAGAATCCTCTGGAAGTCCAGCTCTGCGACATTATTATTCAGTGAGATAATGTTTAAGAGGCAGACTGATAAAATGAGATCTGACTGCTCTGACCAGGATCACAACAGAGGGTTCTGGACAGAGCTGGAGAAGGATGTAGAACATAATTCTAACCCACAAAAAAAAAACCAGATTTACTGGCCTAAAGGAGACTGCAGAAACCCCGAGAGTATGGCTCCAGATACCCTTTTAGCTCAGTGGTGAAGTTATCTCCCAGGTTCACCGTTCAGCCTGGGAGTAGACAGCCCCATAAAACCAAATGGGACTAATGATGTACAGTAGTCCAGTGACAAGGGCCAGAAGGCAGAAGGGGACAAGAAAGCTGGTGATAGGGAACCCAAGGTTGATTAAGGATATTGTTGATGTGTTGTGAGATCGTTAACCATTGTCACAGGGCAACATTTGTAGTAACCGTTGAATGAGAAACTATTTTGTTCT